CATGACTTAGGAAGGTTGGGGACAGAGAGGAGGAGGGCCCTGCCACTGTGGAAGCGCATACGAAGTACTCATTGTAACAGTACCAAATGCAGACAGAGCAGAGCTAACATGAACCGTAACTCTCCCTGCGCCATCCAACAGGGGGGAGCATACCACAAGTACACAGAAGATAGTCACTCTAAAAGAACACTCAGTACAGAGTGAGTCATGGAGAAGAGGGACACATCCCGCAGGTAAAAATGGATAAAGGAGGGGGAGGACCAAGAGGCCACGTTGGATATAATCCACCCCTCAGGGCAGTGCCACAGAGGAGGAGATGCCTCTCATAGAGTGCGCTCTAATGGCCGCTGGGGTATCCCTACTGGATGACAGATAAGCCTTAACACAGCCAATGAGACAGGCGCTGTGCTGACAGGGTAAGGCCAGAGACGTATCTCTGTACTGCACAAACAGGCGCTGGGAATGGTGCCAGGCAGGCAACATAACAGGATAGGGCAGGCACATGGCAGAGGAGGTGGGACTCGGCCACCGATTCTGCTAACAAATTCCCTTTCTTCCACCTGAAATCCACCGGACCACGAGCTCTCTTCTGAGTTACATACATGCTACTTGTCCAAGTGGACACAGTAGAACAAGAGAGAGCGATGCGTTGTACAATGCAAGAAATCGTAATGAAAAGTACAGAAAGTCGTGAACACTTGTCATAATTCGGGAGAAATGTGACCCCTTGAGAGGACAATGAAATACGGGAGCCTCCCATGAAAATTGGGAGGGTTAGCAAGTAGGAGCTAACTGGAGCTAACATCTGTGGCTTCTTGTTTACTTCTGTACAACAGCGTACAGCTGCGTGTGATGTCGTGTTATTGTTCTGCGCTTGCGGGACACTTTCAGGCTGCGGACAGTTCATAATAAAGTCTGATATAGGCCACATTTAAGCAATAATGTGAACTGTCAAACAAAAAAATCAGATCTGGGGGGAAAAAAATCGAAATTAAGCATTAAGGCCTGCAGTCTGACTGTAGCCTAAGACATGATGGAGCCACAGAGAGGACAGCCAGATCGCTGACTCTCTTGGCAGATGTCAATGCCAAAAACAGGATGGTTTTGGCAGAGAGAAATTTCAGCTCCATTGCTACCAGGGACTCGAAGGGGGCTTTAGACAGAGCGCATAAAACCAGGGCTAAGTCCTACTGAGGAGCAGCAGGGCGCGACACAGGTTTGTGTCTGCGCACACTCCTAAGGAAGCACTTCAGCAGCGGGTGAGGGAACATCGTCCTGTCACCAAACCTTTGTGGCAGGATGAAACAATGGCAGACTAGGATTTCACCGGGCTGAAAGCCAAACCCTTGTCCACTAGTAGCTGGAGGAACAAGGGCCCACAGGGGAGGGGGCACGTTCAGGGTCCAGGCTCTGTTCCATGCACCAGTGCTAGAAAGCAGCCCAATGAGGACCGAGTGGGTGCAGCTCTAACCACCTGGATGGTGCATACCACATTCTGCGAGAGACCCTAGCCCTCTAAGCGCTGCCTCTCAGCGTGAGCAGTTCCAGTTCGTTTATGTGGAGAAACATGTGGGCTGGCCACAGACTTCCCACCACCCGTGACAGACACATCCTCCCATCGTGACAGAGGTGTGTTTTTGAACACTTTTGAGTGTGAGGATTCCTCCATTAAGCCAGATGTACACTTACAGAGTGGGAAATGGAGATTGTGTACCTCCCCTGACACACAAGGTTGACGGCAGGTGAATGACAACGACAAGTATTGAGGTGACCCGGCGGGAAGACCATGTGATCCACTGACATCATCCTGAATAGCTGCATGACCAACAGGGCTGTTACAAATGTGTGTGGTTTGACGCGGCGGAGCAGGGCTGTTAGAGCTTTCACTCTGTCCTGTAATGACAGCCTTTTTAGTTAAGGACACCTCTGGGTGCAGACAGAGAGAATGTGCTGCTTATGCCATGATTACGCATGAACCCACAGCAGGGCACTCCCTGGGGGGAACGTGCGTAATGTGTAGAGCGGCACACCTGATAACACTATCACACATCTCCCGGCAGATTTTCTTAATGAACAACTGAACAACTGGCATGGGATATGTGTGCATGTGTTATGTCCACACGAAGCATAATGACCGCATTTGTGGACTTATCATGACACTGACAGCTTCCCCGTGCGAAGAGTTGTGTGTGAAAAGGGACCTCTAACTGTGAACAGAGAGATTGCACTGCTTGTTGCTGGGAGCTTGAGGTGCAAGTTAGCTGACAGGCTAACGACACACACAGTCTAGGGAATGTGTGCTTGACAGGTGTGGCTGTTCACTGAGGCAGGCATAGACTGCGTTTATTCAGAAACAGTTTGCACACAAAGAGCAACAAGGTTATTACAGACCCGATCCATAACATACCTGTTGTTGCACCCTGAGCGACGAGGGTCGGACTAGCAACAAGCAATCCGGTTGCTAGATGTTGTTAGCCGCAGCTAATGGCATGGAAACGTGGTCACACAGGGTCACCCTGGATCGGATGATCCTGGGGCAGATCGCATGTTAGCTTCATGATGGGCTCATGGTAGCTTCATGCCAGCTTATGTTAGATTCATGTTAACTCAATGTTAGATTCACCTTGCAAAATGGGAGCTGATTTCCAGGTTTTTTAAATGAAATGAATCACTTTTTTATTGCCTGTGTGTAAAGGGTTTATTACCTCACATAAAAACGATCCACCCGCAGAGTTTTTCTGTCATCTCTGACTGCCATTATGCCTAATCCTAGGTGAAGACTCATTGCCCTCTGATTCTGTACCTTACTCACAGCAGCAACACCGCAGCTAACAAGATGGAGTCCGCTAAAACCGAAAAACAACCTGTTTCCAGAGCAACACAGACTTTAACACAAACTCCAAGTGAGGATAAAAAACAAAAGCAAACAAGAATCAAATCGAGGTATGGTGAAAACACAGTGAACATTGGAAAGGCTTTTGAAAAAACTGATACAGAGTTGGCTTTTATTATAATGGACATGTAACTTACTGCAAAGCATGTGAAATATATTGTGATTTTGTGCTTTAGTTAGATAATGTTAGCTCCCCAGCTTATGCCTAGCAGTTGCTAAAGTTTTATGGTGCAAAATACTACAGTTGTATGGCTTTCCACATTACTATCCTGTGTACCACCTCTATTATGTCAAAGTATTTATTTTAGCCTGCAAGAAATTATGTACAAAGTAGATGTGGAGCGATTCGTTTATACTAGCCTATAGTGATGCAAGGCCAGGGGCAGGCAGCAACGTTAGCATGGTTCCACCGCTGTTTGCTTCTTAACGTTGAGTTTAGATTTATTATTTTCAAGCTGATAAAAATACCACTGTAATGTTACAGTGGGAGTTTACACGAGTTTCCAACATGTTGTGTGAAGCTGTCTCCCGGTGCTTCTATGTCTGCGTGTCCGATTATGCTCACTCATGAGTTCAAGCATGTGTATGAGCACACACCAGGTTGCATTCTAAAATGCGCACCACTAGTGGCCGCTGAAAACTACATATAGCCCCTTTAACAATGTTTTCATTTTCTATTTATCTATTAATATTTAGGACTTTGTAACACACTAAAGAACTTGCTAAGATGGAGAATTTTTACAATGTGAGGCTGTTGATGCTGCTGCAGAGCAATTCAGGAAAGATGTGGCCAACATGACATGATCCAAGGACAACACACTCAGAGGCTTTAGAGAGGTCAGGTGATGGTGGGGAGGGGGCAGGTTATTGGAGGCAGGAAGGAAAGACAAAATGATGTAAAGCTACCAAGAGAAAGACAAGAAAGAGGGAAGGGAAAGAAGTATTTGGCGAGGATGAAGGGGGTTAGGGCGGGGTCTGTGCATAATTACATTTTCTGTTCTGAGCAGTATTGGAAATCAATAATGTAATTCATAGAAAAGCCATAGAGCTGCCTCCCATTGGCATTCATAGACATGAGCCACACTTACATCAAAGAATTAAAACGGGGAGGGGAGTAGCGGTGTCTGTCATTGAAACAAAGACTCACCTTTTGTTCCTCCCGAGCATTTAAATCTCCTCCACAATGCCTTGCAAAAAGCTGGAGACTTTGAGTTTCCATTACGACATGATTGACGTTTTCAGGTTTGCTTGGCGTCCATGTGGAGACATCTCGGCCTGTCAAGTCAAGTCAATTGTATTTATATCGCCCAATATCACGAATCACAAAATGTCTTCACGGGGCTTGCTTATGTAACAAGAACTCCTTTGTGTTGGGTTATGAACAAGCACCACAGGCTAGTATTCCCAGTTGAGTTGTTTTATTCTGTTTGATAGACAATAGACAAAGAGTGCGGTTACTGGACTCAGCAATGATGACACACTTACACGCGCAAGTTAAACTTGAAGAAGTATGTAACTAACAATATTTATTGCAGCATAAATGTGTGCCTGATAATAGACAAACAGTGTGGTTACTGTGGCTACTTGAACATGACACAAGATATATAAAAACACTTGTTACCACACACAGAGCTTAGCAGTTGGCTTATTTAGCTAGCATCATTGCCTAAATGACACTCATGATGGATATTTATGTAAATTGACAATCGCACTTTTTCTTCGTCCATATTTAGCCTCCTCCTTCACATACAATGAACATCAATATAAAGAACAAAAATGAACAATCTCTAAAAAAATAATGTGCAGTATGATGAACCTGACTCCGGCTTACATGGGTAAGTTAAACTGGGAAGAACGTGATGTGCTTCATTCCCTTAAGAACGGCCGCACGCCTAATTTAAAGTGGTAGAACACTGAACCAAAGTACACAAATATGCACTTCAAATACACACTTCTGGTAATTGGCAAGAGGAAGCATTATTAACCATGTTACACTTGGACCTAAATTTGAATGCGAAAGAAAAGCTCTGAAAAGCAAGTCATGGGTGCAGAATAGAAAATAGTTACTGTGTAGGCAGTCAGGATGAAAAATGTATAGATAAATTATTAACTTGTATGAAAAATATGGCTCTGGCAGGACATAATTTCACTGTTTTCAAACAAATAGGGCCTGAGCCACATGACCTGAAGAGTGCAGACTATACAAACACAAACAAGGCAAAACACATTGTGATCCGTGTATGACCAGATTTGGATTTCCAAACCTTGAGTCCCAGCCTGAACTGAACAGAAAAAAACCCATGGTGGACTATTTCACGAAAGGAGCAAGTGGTAGCGCAGCTTTCACGTCCAGATGTAAGTATACGTTTGTCTAACATGTAGCATTTGTAACACTATATAGGAATGGCAACCAACATATCAGACGAGCCAGCTACATCAAATGTCACCTACTAAAAACGAGGGCATGCTTAGTTCATGCTAACAGGAGCTAGCTTCATTGAGTTCTTTGTTAAGTAGCTAGTGACCTGACATCATAATGTGCTTGCCGACACAAAAAAAACTTTCTTTAAGTAGGCTGCTGTAGTACTTTGGAAACATGACGTTGCATAGTACAAATTAGCGAACAGGCATTTGTTTGGGGGTTGAGTTACAGTAGGCTACCGTGTTGTCATTGCTAATATCATGCTTTTGGAAACATAAAAACAGTTATATTTCTGTGGCTACTGTAAGTGTCATAAAGATAGACTAACCTCATACCTTCTCACCTACCATTGTTTTAGGGGTGGATGGAGGATTTAACTGTAGTTTACAACTCAGAATATCATGGAATCTCCCAAAGTGTTGATGCAATTTATAAAAATTGGGATTTATAAAAACCAAGATGGTCTCGTTGCCCAATATTTGAATGTAGCATAACTGTAGCAAGCACTATCAGGACGCAGTAACTTTAGCGATAAAAATGTCTTAGAGGAACGGAGAAGGTGACGAGCCTAAACAGACAAAAAATTGTGCACTGGTTTATGACGCCCGCTCTGCGACACTAGTAGTTTTGGTGGGTCCACCGCCCCCTCGACAAAAAAATCCCTAGGGGAAACACTGGTAATATACTGAAATAAGAATGTAAATGTGTTTTATTGCCAAATGTTTTACAATGCATGTCACATTATAAGTCAATGGGCATTTTATTCTCCAAAAGGGGATTGTTCCTTATGATAGGTGCATTTGGCTCAACCTTAATTGATTCGTTTGTCTCTCCAAACACCTATAGATGGGCTCCTCTGGGTGTGGGACCTCACATCAGCCTCATGCTTCCAGACAGGTCATTCAGCAGCAAGTCAACAGAAGCCTCCTCCCACCTTCAAAACCACTTTTGGTGATAGGAAATACATCAATCTGTTCAGAAATCTTCACCCTTGGCCACTTCCTCTTTTGCACATGGCTTAATTGTTGGTATTGTTGTTTGGTGTGACTACAATAAATACAAGTTATAGTTGATTGTTTTAATAAATATTTCTGCTGATCCTTAGTGAAAGCCCTTTTTACATTTGTGTGTTTGTACTGCACAGAAACTATGCCCAAATGTGTTTTGTTTACCATAAGGAATTGGTAAGCATACAGCCAATACTTGGATGATGATTTTTGGATTAATTTTCCTTGAGGTAGGCTTACAACACAAATACATTTTACAGTAAAAAGCTCCATGTCAAAATTATTCACACTCACTGTGTTAAACACTCACTGAATGAGGACAACATCCATCTAGGTGCCAGATGATTTTATTACTCTGCAAACACATGAATGAACTGCTTTCTTGTTTGCCGCTGGGCCATATTTTGGATGTTTTGCTACAAACAAGTTACAATGTGTAAGTGAAACTAGACTTTGAGAAATGTAATGTCTGTATTTATTACACTTATATTTACACCAGTTTTTTCAGGTGTAGCCTAACCATATATATATTTTTTTTGTATGACTTGGTTCTGTTGAACTAAACTACCCACACTTAAAAGGGCACATTCAATTTAGAATTTAAATGTTATGAGAATCTTGGGAAAATTAGGGTTGGGCTGATAGATGATGCCATCTTGATTGTAACCCCCCCCCTCCGCAAAAAAAACAAAAACAAAAGGGCCTGATCACAAAAGTGCCAGGGCACCAATGTACATACATTTTGTTACAATTTTGAAGGGTTGACTCGTTTGGACTAACACACCAAAGTAAATGAAGAACATCTTAAAAACTATTACATTTGGTGCTAATTGGCCACTGACAGATAACAATAAATGTAAGAGTGTGGAACATTGCTGCATCACTATTTCTGCACCTCATTCATTATAAACCACAGAATAGATGAAGTTTACAAAGGTGTAGTCAGGTGAGGATCAAGGCTCCTCTCCACTTTGTTCAATTAGATAGGTAATTAGCTCAAATGGCTTTTTAATTTTTTGAAATACAATAGAAACACAAGTAGTCCTGATAACCATAATTTGAGCTTGTTTGCAAAGGGCCTTTACCCTGTGAATTATCAAATTATACCTTTGTGTGAACAGTTGTGAAGCAATACAACCAAATAAGTTACACTTTATTTATGCAAATTCTGAAAGTAAGCATTATTGGTCACTTTAGAGCCACATGTTGTTAGCATGATGCTTTTAGCAGTAAAAATAAACAAGTGTTACCCACCAGGGCAGCTGGCTGATCTGAGCTTCCCATGCTGTACAGTTTTATTGCCAAAAATGAAAAACAATAAAAATAAAATGTAACTGGCACATTTCTGTCCACTTAGCAACGCCACAATACAGTGTTGGACAATAACGGTACATGAAATTACAATCCAGTTACATATTTTACAACACTGACAAGGGAAAATTGTTACTTCTCTCAGTGATTATGCCCATCTTCTAGCTGAAGCTATCAAACAGTTTTCATTTGCATCGCTAAAGTTGGATAAACTTGAGTCAACTTTGTAACATGCTAAAGGACTTGCTAAGATGAAGAGTTTTTACAGTGTGCTGATGCTGCTGCAGAGCAATTTAGGAAAGCTGTGGCCGTCATAACATGATCGAAGGACAACACACTCAGAGGCTTTAGAGAGGTCAGGTTATGGTGGGGGGAGGCAGCTTACTGAAGGCAGGAATGAAAGACAGAATGATGTAAAGCTACCAAGTGAAAGGCAAGAAAGAGAAAGAGAGAATGCAAAGAGGAAGATTTGTTTGGCAAGGATGAAGGGGGTTAGGGCGGGGTCTGTGCACAGTCTGTTCCACAGTGTAGATATTCTTTGCTGTTGACCTTTGTTCCTACTGTGAATGTTATTATGAGGCAGCTTGCGTGGTAAGGCAGCTAAGGACACAGTTGGCTGTCATCCTGCCCAGCAGGTATCCGGGCAGGGCAGCAAGAATGCTGCTGAAGCTCTGCTGCTGTTTATGCTAACCCGCCTGTCCACATGTTCTCCTCCCCTGCAGCGCTGACAGGAAGCCAAGCCGAGTCCCAAGCCCCTATCCAAGGCCTGCGCAGGACCACAGCCGTCGGGACACGACACCGGAGAGCTGCCACCGAGGAGACCTACTGGGCCTACTCAGGTGTGTGTCAGTCTACTTCCCTCTCTATGAGAAACCGACTTTTCATTGAGAAATTGTGGTTAGCCCCAGGCCCCGAAGCTAACACTGAGAACATTGAGGTCATGCCCTTGTATTTTTTCTGGCTCTTTTTAAACAAAATGTTATATATATTTCTCAAAATCTTAAATTAAAGTAACAAATTGTTAAAACTACTTACTTGTATGGTGTGTTGTGAACAAAGGTTGGCATCATTTAGCCAGCAGAGCTCAACATGCGTTATCTGCATACGCACCTCATGATATTAATTGACAGACATGTAATAAGTTACACATGTACAGGACAGTCCTGTCGTGGTCACTCCGTGGACAAGAGGGCTGCGTCAGGGCACATTGCCGATGTCAAACTAAATATGTTTACATGTATGAGAGAGAAGTAATTCCCCTCTGGGTCATTGTTCTGCTACAGGTTTTAGAGTGAAATGATTTCCTAATTACTTTTGCTCTCTAATGCTGTGCCTTCATGTACCAGAACCTTTGCGGACAGGAAATGTGCAGGAAATGAGGCACAGATGGACAGTTGTGTGTCCAAGAGAAATACTTCTTTTTATTTTATTGCAAATAAGAATAAGATTTACAGTATTTTATTTCTTATTTTAAATGGCATATTATGTATTGGTTTATATTTAATTTAAAGACATTAGGCTTATGTAACTTTTCAATAATTTAATATGACTTCCTTGAATCTTTCGAAAATCTAGTAATTTTCTTTTTTGGAAAGAAAGTTTTCAAGCACCTCTTTCTTCCCTTGTATTGAACCTGACATTTTTGGTTGGTGTAGCAACTACCAAATTTTCAATAAATTATTTACGCCCCTGCCTTGCTACCCAACACCAGTATTGCTAAAATCCTGGCTACGGGACTGGTCAGCCTTCACTTGTTCAAGGAAGGTGTCTACACGCAACAGACGATTTCATAAGCCTGAAACTTTTTTGAAAAGTTACATATTATCTGGACAAATTATTTAAACTCAGATCAGAAATACCAGCTAGCAGCTTAAAGGGCTGTGTTCAGGGACAGATTAGATGAATAATGGGTTAAGTGCTTCAAATGGAAAGCTGTAGGGAGGCTCAGAACTCTCCAGAGTGCTGTAAGCTACTAACACATCCCATGTCACATACACATTGGGTTAGGTAGCTGGTGCATGCAGCAGTGCAATTCCTATCTTAGAAATGTCTCAAGGTAGTTGTGTATTTCAGGGCCATTCATCTTATGTCAAAAGTGTGTAGGTTCAAAACCTCAGAGCAGGAAAAGAATCAACAATCCACATTCCAAGGAGGAAAACTCCAAAAATGTGCAAAAATTGAAACGCTGAATACATTTTAGTCAAGACTCATCAGTTAACACAAAAGCAATGTCAGTAATTGTATAGCCTATGACAATGAAAAGAATGGAGTCACCACTGGCCCACAAATCATCATCCAATGGGAGCACAGGGACTAGAACTTGGATTATAGAACATAATATGTCATAATATGTAATATATATGTCTTCCACTGATTGATCAATCAGTTTTGTAGCAACACAAGACATAGTAGCAATGGGGTGACTGGCCTTTAGAAAATTCCTGGCTACTATGTCGTGGTTAATGTTAGCACTCTTCTTTCTCTCACTCTCTCTCAGCAACTCTTCTTCTTATCTCTCCCTGGTGCTCCTACGGCCTGGAGATGCCTCCAGGCCATTTTGTCAATTTCACCAGTGCTTCAGTGGAGAAAAAAGCCACATCCACTGTCCCTTTACAGCCTTTAGTTTTTCAGAGGGTAATGTTCACCATGCAAGCAACACAAGCCCCGGGACACAAATTATCTTTTCGTTTATTTATTTCAATTTTTCTACTGGTTAACCTCTGTGGTTTCCCGTCGTGCCTGTGAGAGCGCAGGAGTTTGTGGGTAAAAACAGAGCTGGTGACAGTTAAACTTAGTGTTGCTGCTGCTGATACTAAGATATACAGATGCTCTCCTGCTGTCCCACTGCACGTGTTTGATCGCAGCTCTTACATAAGACGCTGATGTAATGGTGGGCAGGATCCAGGCAAGAGAGGAAAACAATAGAGAGACAGCAGGCTGACATACTGGTGGATATTTTATTTGCGAGTCAATGTAAGAGCCACAGTGAGCAGAAGTTACCAGAAAATTCAGGGTTTTTTCCCCAACGTGGGTTTTGTTGGCCAGTATTGCGTAAGATTAGCACATGACTGTACTTGAGTGGACAAAAAACATACATGTTTTATAATTATAAAAGTTTTATAACAGAATCCTCACCTTAACCTTAACTTAACAATGAAATGCAGTTATTAAGAGGTGAACGAAGGTGAGCAAAAGGTTTTGCTGACATTGTCACTCATGCTTTGCTATTTGCTTTGGTTTCTAAAGTAATTTTTTCAGTGTTTTTGTCGTTTCTAAAAACTAGATTATGTAAAATTACTGTAATAGATGAAAAGTTCTACATTGCTGCAGTCATTTCCATTAAAAACAATTCTGAGTGATATTGTCTTCTCTGACACACATACACACATCCTTTCTCCCCCTAGTTTCATGACTTTTCCAGAGTTTTTAAACTTCCATCTGTCCTAATTAGCTTGTTCTAATCGCGTCCTCCAGAGGTCTGTCCAATCAAGACTGCAGCGGGCCCCGGCTGTTCTGCCCTCTGCCTGATAAGAATGGCAGATTAAAACAAGGCACAACGCTGACAAATCAAAACTTATCTTGGGACGGCCCTATACCTCCAGAATAAGAGACAATGAGACAGAAAAATTTACAGTCACCCTGTGCCTGAGTTTCACTATCACTGCTGGGTCGCAGGGTTGTGTACCAAGATGGTATTTTGTTTTTTTAGGAAATTATTATATGACAGTTTAAGAAAAAAATTTTTATACAGCCTGTAGCAAAAAAAGACCATGTTTAAAAGGCCAATTGTTTTGTCAAAAACAATGTCAACTATGACTGAGAATTTCAGGGAGAAACATCCAACCACTTTCACGAGTATAAAAATGATAAAACATTCAGCAGTTTAAATTAACTTACTTTGTGATTCTGGGTCAATTTTGGATAAACCTGTCAAATATGGCATGGTGCTTTGTTACCAGTTGCACCAATGAAGCGTTCTGAATTTGCTCTAACTCTCTGTGATGCCTTCTCCATAGCAATAGCAGCTGAGGCTCATGTGGTGTCACACAAAATTCTTGACTTGACTAAGTTGAGTAAATTAAGGAACATGTGTGTTAAAGGAATAGTTCAAACTTAGAACATTTTAGGAATTACCAATTTGCTTTCTTTCAGACAGTGAGATGAGTAGATGATCAATCGGAGCTGGAGTCAGGACGTGATTAGCTATACATAAGTGTATTTCCTGAAATGCTGAGATATTCCTTTACAGGAAATTTTTGAACTGTAGTTGTACAGTTGAGAAGAAAAATACTTCCATACCCAGCAGTACTTTCTACTTTGCATTAGTCAACAACAGTCTATTGTCTGACAATGCTACATGAAAATTAAATACGCAGCAATTACAATAAGGCACTGCAGATGACCTAAATGCTTTCCATCACTGATTTTTCTTTTTTGTCTTCTAATGAAGATTTATTGGTGCACTATCTATACTATAATTCACTAATTATTGATTTGAAGTTATGTAGCAGTCAAATGGCATCGTAATCCATCCATCCATCGTCAACCACTTATTCTGCGTACAGGGTCGCGGGGGGCTGGAGCCAATCCCAGCCGACCAAAATTATAATGTTAATTTTAATTATATTAACTGGAAGGTATTATGAGTCTCAAAGTTTAACTGCTTACAATAAATTAAACTCATAGTACATTTATTGGCCAAGCCTTTTCTTATGTAATATAAACCGTGTTGGTATAAACAACTCCCCCCCCCCCACCTTATACCACTGAAACACACACACTCACACAGACGACTGGAAATTAATTTTTTCTGACCTGCACAGTGTCGAGGCTTCCTATGAGTCTCCGGGCGGGAGAGGCGAGCCTAATTTGTGCGTTCTTTGTCGAGATGTTTAACGTTCGACACCAGTCACCACCACAGAGCTCTCAGGCGTTTATGCTGCAGCCTTGAAGTGGCTGTATGAAGATGGAAATTGATGATATGTTGCACAGTCATTTTATTGAAGAGGGAGAGCATTTTATTAGCCTGACAGTAAGTGGTGTTGTCTGTCTTTTTTCACATCTGAAAATTAAAATGTCGCCATAATAGAGGATTAAATTTACAAAAAGAAACACCAAATCATAGTTTGTTCAGTACTAACATGTTTTGAGGCACATGTCGGTGTTTAAAATATATGTGAGACTTGCCTTCTTTGTCACAGTATTTTAAAAATGAATTTATGTACATATTTGAAGATTCAAAGGGTTTTACTTTTTTTCTCAACCAATGATGATTCTCTACCTAAGACACAAAAATCTAACAGGAAGTGACGTGCTTTCCTTTTCCAAACACAACCAATGAAAATGCCACACTTATTCACCATGGGAGAGTTCTATCTCAAAATGTTTTCAGTTGCAACTAGTATGTAAACACAATCGTGTTACAGATTTTCACAATTGCTAAAACACTAAACCCCGTTCTCTGAACCAAAAGCTCTGTGGCCTAAACCCATTTGTCAAATCAGTCCCTCTTTTGGCAAAACCTTAAACAAGTTCAGGTAGTTAAGACACTTTTTGCAAATCTCATCCACTCTTCTTGCAAAACACTAAATACATTATCACTCACTAAAACACATTTTGCACTGTGATACATGCGGCAAATGTTAAACACAGCCACAACCCAGCTGTCATCTTTTACACACAGTAACTCAGAATTCTGCGCACTTTTTCCTAATGATGTGATCAAACCAAAATGTGGTCAAGTCTCTGGCCAGCATAGCGGCAATCTTATCCTTGACTAAGCTATAAGTAAGGGGAAGTCTCTCTACTGTCCATCATCCTTGGGGCCATATAACACTGA